AGATCATGTACAATGATCCATGGATATGATATGAAATAAATAAATAAATAAATAAATATAACTGGTGTCACAACACTATTCCCAGTGAGGTGTGTGAAGACTATACCAACAGTACAATAATGTAAGTCTACTACAATAACAAATGTGCAAAACTGTGTTGATCAGCATCACAGACTCAGCAAGATTTAATGTTCTCACTGTTGTGGTTATAAAGCTTACAGTCTTCTGTCATGTAGTTTGGTAGATGGGTACCAATGTTTCAGAGGAACCCGTTGCCTCTATCTTCAGCATAGAAGTGCCTTTTCTACCCTGAAGTTGGACGAAGCACATTCTTCATAAATGTCAATATGATCTACCAGACTACTTGGTGGCATAGCCCAAAAGACAATCATGTTCATCACACACTGAAATCCAAAATTCAAAATCCCCATCTATTTTTGGCAACACTGCACAAGTTTAGGAAGGAATTTTTGAGCAGTGAATGAATCAGCAAAAGAAACAAACCACTAGGCTGACAACCTGGTGTCTTTATCTAGCCTCCACTCACTACTACCCATGAGGTTATAACTAAAACTAAACTCTGTGGCCTGTAGTCCACAAGCAAACCATACTGACTAAGAGACTGCCGCTTGTCAACGAAGTTAGCGCTAGCTTTGGCAGATAGAGGGTGTCATGTGGTCAGTGTAATGATCCCAATGGCTGTTAAACTTGGTTTTCTAGACCAGAGCTGCTAGTTCCTTAAAATAATCCCTCAATTATCCTCACGAGGCTGAATCATTAGGTTATAACATGTGAAAAAATTATTTCACGATTCTAACCTGCAACAGATGGCTAGTTCATATCCACTGAACCATATCACAAGAGAACCTCGATACTAATGCAGTATACATTAAAACTATTTGCCAGCTTATATGGGAAACATATGGGATGCAGACAGATTTACCTGACAATAAGAATTAAATTATTTTCATCAACTCTGAATACATTTCAGATTTCAAATTATGAAGCCATGAAAAATCCAACCACATGCATTAATTTAAAATTGTTAAATGACTCTACTCTATACACAGCTGCCCAGAAGAAAATCCCGTATTATGAAAATACGTACTTACATTCCGGTAAAAAACTGCAGTATTGTACAAATTGATGCTGAGGTGGCAACTACGTCTTTAAATCCCTCCATTGCAAAAAATCGGCCAGTGATTTTTCGTGTTAGCAGAAAAAAGAACTCTTGTTAGATGAAGATGCAGCAGCTGGAAACAAGCCAACCAAACACATATTACCAGCCGTACTTCATGCGAAATGCAATGTCATACAGACATCCAAAAAATGTTTCCTTACAGGTGTCAAGAGACATACACAAAACTTTCCTCGTATTAGTTATACCAGTGTTTTAGTGTCATACTTGCAACTCTACGATTATTTTTGAAAACATTGAGCTAAATAAATCAGAGATTCGACACATTGCTTACCATATTTTAACAGAGTCTAATAATGACAGATTTAAAACTTTTCTCCAACATAAATTTTAATCTTCAAAGCCAAACAACACCTAACCAAACCGCACAAATATAAATTAACGAGTACCAACCACAACTGAACAAGAGTATTTACATGGCTGCCAACTAATGCAGAGGTCTCCGTTTTCGAGAATACAATGGCATTATGCTTCACATTGTTGTGGATTTTAACCTACTGGCCATTTGTCAAGAGCATGTTAAGTTTCCTGCGTTAAATCAACAATAACTTGTACTTGTGGATTTTACTCAGTGTGTTCACCGGCTTTGGAGATCCATGGATATTTAAAATTTAGCGCTGCATTTGAAGGGCAGCCGAGTCAGAATTCCAAGGAATAAAATTGAAAAACTGCTTCGAACAAGGCATTTTCCGCCGTTTATGAAACCAGCATGTTCATTGAGGTGAGATATTTTTAAGGCGGCGAGTAGTAAAATTACGGTCTTCTGCGACGTAACGCCTTCAAAACGCACCCATCTACCAGATCCTTTCATCCTGAGGCTGGAAGCAGCAGGCTCCTCTAAAACGGCAATGTCAGGAAACCAGCTAGTAAGACATAGCAGAGGGGATGAGGTGGAGGGACTTTGCAGAGGAAGAGGGAATTCTTCCAAAAATATGGAAGTGGAATCTCCACTTGAAATTAAAGTATTTTCAATGTAATTTCTTTATTTTTTTTAAGGCTTGCATCCTGTTGCATACATACAATGAACATATTTAATTTTGTAAGATTTGAGGTTTTCATGGTGGTGACTATGAAGAAAGCAGTCTTCTGGGATGTGGCACCATGTAGATGTGGTGTTAACCGACGTTTCGGAGGAACATATCGCCTCCATCTTCAGGGTAGAAGGAAAAATAAGAAATCCGCAATCCTTCTACCCTGAAGATGGAGGCAATACGTTCCTCCGAAACGTCGGTTAACACACATCTACATGGTGCCACATCCCAGAAGACTGCTTTCTTCATATTTAATTTTTACCATCAACGCAACAATACGTTATTATTTATTTAGCACACAGTACATGTTTTGACCTCAAATGGGCCGTCTTCAGGTGCTGCAAGTTTCTCACATACTACTACCAAACTGCAACCTTAAGAATCCCATTTTTACAAATGGTTTGTACAAGGTAGTCCTATTGAAGTCACCAACTAGACAAAACTAAGACTAGAATTTGGTTAAGATTAATAATAATATACAATATAATAAGAATAAAATTCACACATGTGATAAAGTCTTATATAAACAATAGGATTAAACATAATTTAATAATCAGGTGATCCTAAATCCACAATTTGATATTTAAAAATGATTTATAAATGATCTTTCTAAATGTTATAAGCCGTGAGTATCTTTGAGTTTGTTACTGTAGTAGGCCACGTATATGCTTCATCAAATTTCTTCTACTGTTTGCTGCATTGGCTCATCGTGTAAGTATCGTAATGTTACCATTTTCCTAGAGAATAGATCCCTCTTCTTTCATGTTGTTGGGAGCCAGTGGTTAGTGTGTGTTGTTCATATTATGCAGTTCATAGATCTGCATGGTTCTGAGACATCCTTAGCATTCATGGCTGGTTTCGGATGTTTTTTCTCCTTCCCCCCCCTTCCCTTCCTTTAGTGTTCTAGAATGTTCCAGTCCATCACGTGATTTCCTTCCCCTCCAGCTGTCTCTAGCGTTTTTCAGTAATCTAGCGATGAAAAGGAGGACGAGAGCACTCGGTTACAAGTGGCCAGTGAAGGAGGTAGCAGAATTCTGTTGAGTGTTGTGTTGGTCAAAATTCCATTTTGGATTTCTTCCTTCCAGCTGCGGAGGGCTTGCACCCCCCTAGGTCTTGAGACGGGTGCACTGAGTGTCTCTATATAGGGGTTTTCTTCGAGGGTTATTTTCCTGGCTTGGTATTTTATATTGCCCCATGTATTTTTTTTTGGGGGGGGGCTGTTTTTGACTTTTGGTAATGCAGTGTGCGAGTATTCTTTGTGAAAATATTGTTGTATTTAATATCAGTTTTTGGAATACTGTGAGTGGGGTCTCTATTTTGACTGTTAATTTTTAATTAATTTTGTTATATTAAATATAGTTATTTACTTATTTACTTGCTATTTGGACACCCCATTCAATCTCGGAGGAGGCATTTAGAAAGCATGTATGAACCAGGAACGGAAGCGCCGTTATCCCCTTTCTAAAGTATTCTGTAAGAGGGGAGAGGCCGCTTAGTTCATAGTACTGTGCTATCTGATATTCACAATGAAAAGATGTATCCAAGTCTTCAGGATCCTTTAAATGACATTCAATGTATCATTTTATTTCTCCACAAGCAGAATCAACACGTCCTTATTTAACTTGCTTTTTATAATCATTATACCAAGTATCCCACAATATGATATTTTGTCTGCATAGTTTGTGTTCATCTGACCAATTCATAACAGTCATCTCAATATGTAACTAACTGATCAAAGAATTTACTCCCAGCCGATGGTGAAAGAGCATAGATAACACACAGAAAAAAAAAGGGGGGGGAGAGAGAGGAGAGAGAGAAAATGAAGCTGCACACAGTGTGCCACAAACAACCACAGATGACATCAAAGAACCTTCTTCTCAAGAATGACAGGCGGCACACATTCGGCCCCTGTCAAGAGACGTAATAGGAAAAGGGACACGAACCTATTCAGTTTATAAATTCTAACTTAAGTAATAAAAATCAAATTTTAATATATCAAGGCAGGTGTGATAGTTGTAAAAACTTTGGATTTTGTATCCATTTGTATATTATCAACATTGTATGTATATTTTAACACTCAGAAAATCTATTGTAATAGCTGTTTTCCAAACTGTATTGATGTCCCTCTAATGATGGCCTCTAAGGACCGAAACATGCAAGGGTATGAAAAACTAAAGTAAGAAAAGTCTTCACCAGTCACACTGGATGGAACTGTTTTGTCTTTTTATGACTGCACAATTATGTTTATGAGCTGTCAATCAGTTTCAGTGACTACACACTATTAATCACTAGCTTACACTGCTGAATTAACATCATAACTGTAAGAGAATGTCATGTCCTGTCATGTCATGTCATGTCTATTTCCACAAAAGATGGGGTCTTGTGCACATTCCACAATCAGAATTAAACAGATATTGACACACAGTAACATTTTATATCATGGGACACAGTTCATTTCCAGTCAGCTGGAAAGGTTAGCAACAGCAAAGAACTAGAATATCTTGCAGCATGCAACACACAGAAAAACTGTCTTATTTCAACATGAAATACTGTGGAATGCTACAAATTACATATTGTTCCTTTAGTCTAAACCCATCTCCACTGCTTTGTGATTTACTGCACACGTCAAGATGTAAGCTCTCATGTGACTTCAGATTACTCTGGTGACTGAATGCCCTATTACATACATCTCATACAAATGACTGCTCCCCAGTATGTATGCGCTGATGTGTCTTCATATGACTCTTATCACTGAATGCCTTATTACATACATCACATACAAATGGCCGCTCCCCAGTATGTATGCGGTGATGTATCTTCAGTGTACTCTGCTTCCTGTATGCATTATTACATACATCACATACAAATGGCCGCTCCCCAGTATGTATGCGGTGATGTATCTTCAGTGTACTCTGCTTCCTGTATGCATTATTACATACATCACATACAAATGGCAACTCTCCAGTATGTATGTGCTGATGTCCTTTCAGATGACTCTGATTCTTGAATGTCTTATTACATACATCACATCTAAATGGCCGCTCTCCAGTATGTATGCGCTGATGTTTCTTAAGTGCACCTGGCTTCCTGAATGCCTTATTACATACATCACATACAAATGGCCGCTCCCCAGTATGTATGCGCTGATGTTTCTTCAGTGTATCCTGATTCCTGAATGCCTTATTACACACATCACATACAAATGGCCGCTCCCCAGTATGTATGCGGTGATGTATCTTCAGTGTACTCTGCTTCCTGTATGCATTATTACATACATCACATACAAATGGCAACTCTCCAGTATGTATGTGCTGATGTCCTTTCAGATGACTCTGATTCTTGAATGTCTTATTACATACATCACATCTAAATGGCCGCTCTCCAGTATGTATGCGCTGATGTTTCTTAAGTGCACCTGGCTTCCTGAATGCCTTATTACATACATCACATACAAAGGGCCGCTCCCCAGTATGTATGCGCTGATGTTTCTTCAGTGTATCCTGATTCCTGAATGCCTTATTACACACATCACATACAAATGGCCGCTCCCCAGTATGTATGCGGTGATGTATCTTCAGTGTACTCTGCTTCCTGTATGCATTATTACATACATCACATACAAATGGCAACTCTCCAGTATGTATGTGCTGATGTCCTTTCAGATGACTCTGATTCTTGAATGTCTTATTACATACATCACATCTAAATGGCCGCTCTCCAGTATGTATGCGCTGATGTTTCTTAAGTGCACCTGGCTTCCTGAATGCCTTATTACATACATCACATACAAATGGCCGCTCCCCAGTATGTATGCGCTGATGTTTCTTCAGTGCACCCTGCTTCCTGAATGCCTTATTACATACATCACATACAAATGACTGCTCCCCGGTATGTATGCGCTGATGTGTCTTCATATGACTCTTATCACTGAATGCCTTATTACATACATCACATCTAAATGGCCGCTCTCCAGTATGTATGCGCTGATGTTTCTTCAGTGCACCCTGCTTCCTGAATGCCTTATTACATACATCACATACAAATGGCCGCTCTCCAGTATGTATGTGCTGATGTATTTTCAGACGACTCTGATTCTTGAATGGCTTATTACATATATCACATCTAAATGGCCGCTCTCCAGTATGTACGAGCTGATGTCTTTTCAGTGAACTCTGATGACCGAATGAGTTATTACATACATCACATCTAAATGGCCGCTCCCCAGTATGCATGGGCTGATGTCTCTCAAGTGTGCTCTGATTACTGAATGACCTATTACACATATCACATCTAAATAATGGCCGCTCCCCACTATGTACACGCTGATGTGCATTCAGTGCACATTGATTACTGAATGGTTTATTACACATATCACATCTAAATAATGGCCACTCCCTGGTATGTATGCGCTGATGTGTATTCAGATTAATCTTACAACTGAATGACTTATTACATACGTTGCAACAAAATGGCTGCCCCCCAGTATGCATATGTTGATGTGCTCTCAGAATTAGCTGTTGACTGAATGAATCACCACACTCATCACAAGAATACTGTCGCTCCTCACCATGCACAGGCTGAAGTTCATTCAAAGTACTCTGGAAAATGAGAGGAAATAACATGAAAAATAATCCTAGTAGGAAGAGAAACGAGTTTGAAGCCCTAGTGCAGTGAGATCTTAAATCGGTAGGCATGAGGGAGTGACAAAGGAGAGATGGGGAGAGAAGAGGGAGGGAGGCAGTACACACTCCTTTGTGTCATTGTGTGTATTGAGTCCATCAGCATGTATGCTGGTTTACGAGTGAATAAAAGTTAAGGTACACTGCCACTGTTCAACAAATTGAAAAATAAAATAAAATAACACATTTGCAAGGCTGAAGAGGCATCCAGTTATTAGGGGACAGGCTCCTAATATGAAATAATAATAAAGACCAAGTTAAAAAATGACACTAAGACAGGTAGCATATGGACCAGTAAAATCCGCGAAACAACAGTATATATATGTGGTAGAGTCATTAAGTTCGTGGAATGTGGTTTTATCACATCATATTACAAGGTATTCACATACACTTACACAGATCCACATCGGTCCTAAAAATAGTTGCCATTGGCTGCTATGCAAGATTGCCAACGTTGATATAGATGTCGAAAACATTGCTGAAGCATATTGGCAGTAAATTCCCGTACGGCATCTCTTGTGGCATTGATGACCTCATTGGATGACTGAAATCTACGACCGTGTAGCTTTGCTTTCAAGCGGTGAAAGAGAAAGAAATCGCATGGTGCGAGATCAGGTGAATACGGAGGGTATGGCAAAATGATGACCGCTTGTCTTGCCAGTTTCTCTTGGACAAGAACAGAGCAAGGTGCACAGGCGTTGTCATGTAGCAACAGCCAATTCTTCCTATGCCAAACGTTTCGCAAGGGGATCTGTCTAGTTTTTGGCAGAACTTGATGTTTGCCCATTGTCCAAATTGCCACATTTTCGATTTCCGGCACTTGCATTTAACTGCAGTTCACAACAGAGGTTGTAGTTCTGCTTACACTGTTTGCACACAACTGCCTCTTGCTGTGACAAGAGATGAACTGACAGGGCATCATATCATGCCTCAACCTATCCCCTGTAGTGCACTGCAACGATGCTTTGCGGCCAGTCCACAAACTTATTGGCCGTGGTAGTATAAAAAGCATGGCCACTCAGATACCATGAACAAAGCCACGTGAGTCATCTCCAAGGATGCCATGCAACATTCCCTGACAATGGAAATGTTTGGCTTTTGTCAGAAAATAGCCACTACTTCCGGATGTGTGACACTGTAATGAGTACATCACACTGTGCCTTGTGTGAAGACATGTAAGCATGATTTCCTGCTTCCTCATGGAGCCGAATGACTGCCACTCTGGAATACCACAGCTCAACTGACTGCTGTGTCAGGCTTCTTGAGAATTTTCATAACAAGTTTATTTTTTATGGTGAGGAATTGTTAGTCCCCCACCCAACCCCTAAGCTGGAGGACCACCCCTTGTCGGCTGTCCGCGACTGCTTATTCAATATATTCGCAGCTTTCCTCCAATAATAGTAGTAGTAATAAAAAAGTAAAAAAGTAAAGCTTTCCCTGTACCAGGCCTTGAAAGCCCACAGGGTTGTGAGATGTTGAGGGTCCCACACTATCTAGACAATCGGTTCAAAGATGGCGGTAGGTTGTCAGCCTTACACACGTAGTAGTAGTAGTAGTAGTAGTAGTAATAGCAGTAATAATATTAATATTGTCATGTGTTTGGAATCCGGAAGGGTTAGTTCCATGGTAATTCTAACAGTGAGTCTCCAAGGCTACAATGAACTGTTAGAAGCATTACGTAACAACGGGAAATAATGCATTTCCTATGCAAGGGGCTGTTGAAATAGCAGGAATAATGGCTTTCTGCGGTAACGAGTGTAGGACACTGATGGTGTTCTCTAAGGCCCCCCCATACACACACAGTTTGGCCTCTCCCTTTCCTTCCCTATACACGCGCCGATAAACTGGCAGGCTTCATGCCACAGTCAGTCTTCCAGCCTATGTTGGCGAGTGCAGTGCAGTCTTGTTTATTTGTTAAAACGTCTACAGTTGATGAAGTGTTTGCATATGCAGCTATCGCGCGTGTATTGTAAAAAGAAAAAAAGAAACGGAGACAAAAGTTATGGACCAAAGAGTGGTTCAAAAGAAGAAATCATTTCACTCACATGGATTTGCTTCAAGAACTTAAATGTTTTCCAAAAGACTGGAGCAACTACCTGTGTATGGATGAAAGTACTTACCTGGAACTGTTAAGTATTGTTTTGCCATACATAAAAAAAGAAGATACAAACATGAGAAAAGCAATCACACCCAATGAAAGAAAGATTGACAGCAACGCTTTGCTATCTAGCTAATGGAAGAACCCTTGAAGACCTGATATTTTCTACTCGTATCTCTCCTCAATCATTGGGAAGAGTGATTCCTGAGACCTGCAAAGCAATTTACAAAGTACTGAGGAAGTATTGCAAGGTAAGTAAGTGAAACAAGTTTCTTTGAACATTTTTACTTTTACTACATAGGATATGAAAAGCGAGGGTAACATTATAAATACAGGAAGATAAATAAACTGTCATGGTATGCACATGAAAAAAATCTCTCATGCCCAACAGTTACTATAGCCCAGTTGGGAGTTAAAGAATTAAAGTAATATTGACCCGCCTCTCTAGTAGTGACCCATGCAATCATTGTGGCTGGAACCCGAAGAGATATTTGACTAAGGGCCAAGAGTACAGTATGCTCCAGTACTGGTATTGATTGAAGAGTATCTCGAAGGTGATCGAAGCTCTGCTTCAGAAAGGGTGTCATTTATTAATTTCTCTGCATAAATCCTTTGTTTTCGTTATTTCCTAATGTTCGTAATTTGGCAGTTACATTTTTTGCAAAGAACTCAAATCTGTCCTCATTTTTCACTTGAGCCAGTCGATCACCCACTGTCACAAGTATCTGATCACTAGCAGACAGATTCTTTATACGTTTGAATGAACAGCCGTAGGAAGAGATGTCTGAACCAGTGCTGATGTTTAATTCTGCATTTTGATTTGAAACAGAGGAGTGCGCTGAAATGCCTGGAGAGACTGACTTTTGTGTAATTTCTTGTTCTGTTTCTTCTAAGCCCTGTAAACAACAGAACATAAAAATATAGTTACACCCCAAGCATGTTAATCTCCCTCTCTGTGTGTATGTGTGTCTCTCTTCCTCTCAGTGCCTTCTGTCATCTGTTTACAGTGCCCTACATCGCAAGAGGAGTGGAAGAAAGTCAAATCTATGATAGAGATGGGTTTCTGTAATACTGCAAATCTCTCCACAATGATACCAAAAACACTTTGAATCATTCGCCGAGCTCTAGACAAACAGTAGTTGAATATCTTATGGGCTGGTATGATTACTTTACAGCTGAAAGGCTTCATGCTGTCTTTCCTCAGTGGAAAGGCATCATCTGCTACAAGAACAAAAAGCATATTTCTCCCAGCAACAATTGTTTTCTCTGGCACATTCAAACTCCCGCTTTCGAGTGTCCTGTAGAAGTCTGTGCTTTGAAAAACTCCACCATCAGACACATCCATTTGATCCAAAACTGAAGTATAGTAACTTGTAATTGGCATTTGCAACCCCAAATAAAATCTGGCTGTGGAAATTTTTATAGTTAAAGAAGAATGATCCAGCCCCTGGAGGAGGCGTGATAGCCACATGTTTTCCATCCGTGGCTTCTATGCAGTTGGGAAACTGCCACCGAATGTAACGTGTTTGCAATCTGGAAGAGTCACTTCTATGGAAACGCTAGAACAGACCGTTGCATAGGAAGTAACAATAGCGGCACTGTAATCCCAACAGTGAGCCGTTGTGTAGAGAACATCGAATCTCCAAGGTTACGACGAATACGTGAAGCGTTCCCACAGAGACAACGCAATAACAATGGGTCATTGTGTAGGAATCGCGGAACCAACAAAGCAACGTTTCCACTGCTATAACAGAGGGTTCATTTGCCTAGCAGCGGCCGAGGGGATAAATAGCCCAGCTTTCACGAGAAGCAGTCAGTCTTGGAATATCCACCGCAGAAGAGAGTCTGCTATAAACCGCCAGAGAAGGCAGTCCAGTATCGCCGAGATATTGCAAGCAGTATTTGTAACACTGCAAGTGGCAATGATTGTAAGGTGTGAGCGAGCGGAATAAATTCGCTATATCAAACAACGGCGTAAATTTATTTGTAGTGTGACACACAAAACACGCTACACTGGTGTCAGAAGTGGGATCTGAACTTACAGACATGACCGACAAGATTCGAACTCAAGACACGCTACACTGGTGTCAGAAGTGGGATCTGAACTTACAGACATGACCGACAAGATTCGAACTCAAGACACGCTACACTGGTGTCAGAAGTGGGATTTGAACTTACACACGTGACGAGCAAGATTCGAACTCAAGACACCCTACATTGGTGTCAGAAGTGTTTTACAAACTTTTAACATGCGTCCTACAACAGCAACAAAAAAATGGAAATGCAGCAAATGTTGGAATTTCTGCTGAAGAAAATGACAGCTTACGAAGGAAAGGCCGACGCCCGACATAAAGAGATGATGGCCGATTGGAAAGCATGGCGAGAAACGGCCGCCATGACCGACAACAGAGGGAGCGACAGCGACGCAGAGATGACTGCCTGCCAAGAGATGGAGGCACAGAAAGAAGAGGTCCCCGTAGATGACGTCCCGAGAATACCGGTCGGAGAACCGAAGGAGAGGCGCAGGGACCGCGAACTGGCCGCGGAGCGCCGCCGCCAGAAAGCGAAAGATTCAACGCGGGTAATTCGTGAATCCCAGAAGGAATTGGCCGTCGACCACAGAAGGACAATACGCCGGGCGAATGTGGCACGACCCAAGATGGATATCCTCAGGAACACCACCCAGAAAAAGCGTGGACCCCACGAGAGGTTGGGATTCTCCAGCAACGGGACGACCTTCCGTGCCAGAGTAGCACGGCGCAACAGGATCCCCAGAAAGAACTGGGTCAGGAACAACATACTGAGGGGAAACGCGACAGGATACACGCCCGGGAGGAGATATCGGCCGAAAATGGAATGCAGCAAGTGCGTAAGGAGCCGAGACGTAGAAGAGCCTCTACATCCGAGGAAAGGGAGGAAAACCGCAAACGGTATAGGAGGATGGAGTGGAAGACAGCAGCCATGACGGGAAAAGGAAGAATCTAACAGGACATACAGGAAGACGACTGGACTAGAGATAAAGAAGCGTATAGCCAAATCTCCCGTCAGCCTACGACAAAACAAAGATTGGACACTGTGGAGGGGCCGACCCCCTCCAAAAGTGTAGCGTGTCTTGAGTTCGAATCTTGTCAGTCACGTGTGTAAGCTCAAATCCCACTTCTGACACCAGTGTAGCGCGTTTTGTGTGTCACGCTACATATAAGTTTACGCCGTGGTATTTGATATAGCGAATTTATTCCGCTCGCCCACACCTTACAATCACTACCACTTGCAGTGTTACAAATACTGCTTACAATATCTCGGCGATACTGGACTGCCTTCTCTGGCGGTTTATAGCACTCTCTTCTGTGGTGGATATTCCAAGACTGACTGCTTCTTGTCGAAGCTGGGCTATTTATCCCCTCGGCCGCTGCTAGGCAAATGAACCCTCTGTTATAGCAGTGGAAACGTTGCTTTGTTGGTTCCGCGATTCCTACACAATGACCCATTGTTATTGCGTTGTCTCTGTGGGAACGCTTCGTGTATTTGTCGTAACCTTGGAGATTCGATGTTCTCTACACAACGGCTCACTGTTGGGATTACAGTGCCGTTATTGTTACTTCCTATGCAACGGTCTGTTCTAGCGTTTCCATAGAAGTGACTCTTCCAGATTGCAAACACGTTACATTCGGTGGCAGTTTCCCAACTGCATAGAAGCCATGGATGGAAAACATGTGGCTATCACGCCTCCTCCAGGGGCTGGATCATTCTTCTTTAACTATAAAAATTTCCACAGCCAGATTTTATTTGGGGTTGCAAATGCCAATTACAAGTTACTATACTTCAGTTTTGGATCAAATGGATGTGTCTGATGGTGGAGTTTTTCAAAGCACAGACTTCTACAGGACACTCGAAAGCGGGAGTTTGAATGTGCCAGAGAAAACAATTGTTGCTGGGAGAAATATGCTTTTTGTTCTTGTAGCAGATGATGCCTTTCCACTGAGGAAAGACAGCATGAAGCCTTTCAGCTGTAAAGTAATCATACCAGCCCATAAGATATTCAACTACTGTTTGTCTAGAGCTCGGCGAATGATTCAAAGTGTTTTTGGTATCATTGTGGAGAGATTTGCGGTATTACAGAAACCCATCTCTATCATAGATTTGACTAGCGTCCACCATATTGTTATGGCATAATTTTTTGCGCAGCAAGATTCCAAATCAGTACACACCATTGGAGTGTTTGGATGATGAGGATTTTGAAACTGGGAATGTTACGCCTGGTTATAGCTGCAGTCAATTTATGGATTTGGAAAGACGGCAGTGGTATTTTCCTACCCAGGATGTGAAACTTGTAAGAGAGTTGTTTTTGGAGTATTTCAACGAGGGAAAAGTTCCGTTTTTAAAAACAGTACATCCAGGCAGAAAGCTCTGATTCCGTACACATGCACAGAATTATTTAGTTTAGCATTGTAATCTATAATTGTTAACATGCAATAAAAGTTTGATTTTTAATTACACCACTTACCTCCGTATCACTAACAAGACTTGAAAACCTGTCCAAGGCCTCTTCTTGGTCTACCAGGAACAACAAATCTTTGTAGTACCACAATTTCAGTCTTCGCTACTCATTCCAGATTTCTTAGCCGTCAATACTTTCTTCTGTTCCTTCCTGAAACTGCTACGTAGACTGTTGATCTTTTTCAACACAGTTTCCTTGTTGGCTTGGGGATCAACAGTTTTCATTTTTTCCGTCAGTGCTAAATAAGCACTCTCTTTCATCTCACGGTTGTGGTATTCTCTGCTCTTGACCTTCCTAATGCAAGAATGACCATGAAATTCTTCAATAAATTCCATTAAAAAGTCCTTTGACCATGTCGCCATAGCACAAAGTTTCAAAATACCACGAGAAATGACACACAACGCGAAACAGTACTGAAGAACACGAGACAGCAACAGCAACTGAGCGATTGGCCTGCCGGTATCGTCACACACGTACGTTCCACCTGTCACGTGCTATGTCCTGCAGGCAGAACTGATGGGTTTCCTACAGGCCAACAGTCCAAACGACTGGCCGGCCGGCCGCACCACACACGTCAGTTTTGCCTTTCAGTCTTCAACTGTGCAGGCCAAACAGGAGGCCAAACTGTGTGTATGGGGGCCCTAAGTGGTTCAAAAACCCCTATATAATGGGTTGAAGGCATTTGCCAAGACAGTTGAGATCCAGCCACAGTCAGAGACAGTTGGAAGACAGCAGCCGCAGAATGCAGCTGAAGTGATACTAATTGTACTTGAGCGTGCAGGAGTGAGTGCTCAATAAATATCTGCTAAATCTGAGACCCACGAGAAGTTATTTGTTGCGCTGCATAGGCAACACGCAACAATATTAATAATGAATTTAATAATAACAATAGTTTAATTAATTCGGTATGAAATATGTTTCAACGAGTTTTTTGGTCCAAAGACATCAACATCCCTACAAACAACATTAGCAGCAGAAGCGCATCTAGTAGAGGGGCAATTTTTACTCACAGAACAGACACTGAACATAGGAAAGTCAACAATTTCCAAAGCAGAAGGGCAAAACACAGAACCACAATAAACTTGAATAAGGAAGAGTGCATCAAGGTGATATCTCCTCTTTTGCAAGGTGTGCAATTTCAATTGTTCTAAAGCAAAATCATAACAGTAATCTACTTGAGGAAAAAAGTTTAAAACAGAGCTGTAAACTTCTGCTGAATGTGTTCTATGAGGAGTGTTCTGTATATAATGCCTCCTATTTTTCTAATGAAAATTACAACAGATACAGAAAGCATAATAACACAGTTAAATCGAGCAAGATTTCAGCTACTTACGGTAATTTTTCCACATAATCACCACCATTCATTATGCACTTTTGCAAGCGATGAACAAGAGCCTGTATGCAGTGCTTGTAAAAGTCTGCGCTAGCAGAGGCAAGCCACTTTGTTACAGCTGCAATAACAGCATCACTGTCTGGAAAATGTCCATGTAATCCAACTTTCATAGGCCCAAAGAGATGGAAGTCTGAAGGTGCTAAATCGGGGCTATAAGGTGGGTGTGGTAGGACAGTCCAGCCAAACTTTGCAATGTGTGCAGTGGTCGCAAACTGGTATGGGGTTTAGTGTTATCGTGTTGCAAGCGAAAGGTTGTCTGCTTCTCTGGCCTGACTCGGGAAATGCAGACTACCAGCTTAATCAGCGTCATCTTGTAGCGTTCTTAATTTACAGTCTCACCAGGCTCCAGGAAATCTAACAAAATCACACACCGCCTATCCCAAAAGACCGTGCACATCACTTTCCCTGCTGATGGCTGTGGCTTGAACTTCTTTCTTCTTGGGGACCTCCGGATGTCGCCACTCCATGGACTGTCTTTTGGATTCTGGCTCGTAGTGGTGACACCACATCTCATCTCTGGTGATGATGCTGTCCAGAAACTTGTCACCTTCAGCCTCAAACTGGTGCAACAGGTCCTGACAGACTTCCATTTGATGAGTTTTGAGGTCCTGTGTAAGCATCCGCGGGACCCACCTGGAACAAACTTTGTGATAATCCAGCTTCCCTAACATCGTTTCCAATGCATTACATCCAATATTAAGCCGCGCACACAGTCCCCTGGTTGTTATTCACTGATCTGTACAGTTGAGCTGATCGAGGTGCTGTTCATTGTGAGGAGTGGCAGCTAAGCAGGGACGCCCAGGGCGTGGCTTGTCATGCACTTCACTTTCGCCACTGTTGAAACGCACTACCCACCACATCACTATGCTGACATCCACTGTATCATCTCCGTACACTTTTAGCAAGTGTTGATGGATGTCAATGGGTGCAATTTGTTCGGCAGTGAGAAATTCAATAACACATCTCTGTTTTGTACGCACTTATATGTCAGATGCCATTTTTGGTAGACTGCTCTGCTGTCGCTATCTGTTGCACAACAACCAAACTAACAGTACATTGGTGGGAAGATTCAGCCTTTACTATAACACCACCAACATCCAGCTCAGACGTAACATATTAACACAAAAAAATAGGAGGCATTATATATGGAACGCTCTTCGTAGTTTGTTTGCAGCAGTTGATGTAACGAAGTTTGAAACTACTGAAGCGTATTCAACTTTGGAGCTAACTAAAGTAAAGTATAAAATTAAACATGCAACCAAGGGTTGAACAGTCAAAGGTGATACAGTGAATTATACCTACCATCTTAATACAATGTGAAAATATAAAATTAACATGTTCATGAAAATGAAGTTTAGAATCAAGATACAGAGTGGGGCGCAGAAACTTCCTTTTTGTGAAGACGCGCTGTGAAGGGAGGGGAGGTCGCACAAAAGTGAGGATAGGCTTGGCGAACCAGCAGTCGCGGAAGTTTCCGTCTAATACCCCTCAGTAGGAAACATGAGGTGGATGAGTGAGCAGCGTGCATTTGCTGTTGAAGCCTATTTTTCCTATGTGGTGGTACAGCGTGCGTTCCATACTCACTTTGGAATTAAGCCCAGAGGTCCAGTTCCCGACCGGAAATCGAGTGTTTTGTGGGTAGAGAACTTTAGGACAACCAGGAGTGTGGTGGAAAAATCATCAGGGTGACAACGGACCGTTACGATGCCAGAAAATGTGGAGTCAGTTCGACAGTCGATTTTGAGATCTTTTTCGAACAAGCTTTTGAAGAAATGCATCTAAGAAACGTCTGGTTCCAACAGGATGGTGCCATGGCCCACACAGCCCGAGCTTCGATGACAGTTTTGAGGGCAAAGTTCCACGGACGGCTCATCTTGCTTCGAGGTGACTTCCTGTGGGCAGTGCACTCACCTGATCTAACGCCCTGTGATTTTTTTTATGGGGATACCTCAAGGCAGATTTTTAAACATTGCCCCACAAACCTGTTTCAGCTGAAGAATGTTATTCGGCAGGAAGTAGCCAAAATTCCGGTGCACACGTTGGAACGTGCAGAGGGGAACTTCAGAAAACAGTGGCCACCACCTTCAAGGTATTTTGTTTAGAACTATATGATTTAAAACATTAAAGTATGTTCTTTCATTAGCCTTGAATGTCTTTACAACATATGCCTGAAATGGCTTCCCTGTTCAGCAATGCATGCGCGAGCTCTTTTTACCATGTTTGAGGCCACTTTGTGGAGCACCTGTAAACTGATGCTGTTAATTGCTGCCGTTTCCTCTTGAGGTCATCCAGGGTATGCAGATTGTTTTTATAGACAATTCCTTTGAGGTACACCAAAAGGAAGGGTGAACGCGGGGGCCACAATCCTTTCGAAATGAGACAGTCACCGAAGAACTCGTGCAAGAACTGCATGGTTTCATTAGATATGTGACATGTGGCACTTTCTTGCTGCAACCAACACTTACGTTCATCAACTTCAAGAAGCGCAATAAACTATGTAATGATGTCTTGGTACACTGGACTGTTCACTGTTGTTTCAAAGAAAACTGGGCCCATTATTCAACGATGTGATACAGCACACAAAATACCAATCTTCTGACAGTGCAAGGGCTTTTCATGTAACACATGTGGATTTCAGATAACCAAATCATATTGTTTTGACTGTTCACGTAGCCACGTAGGTGAAACCACGCTTCATCAGTGAAGAAAATGTGATCAAAGTCTTCAATTCCATGGTTGCCAACATATGTCTGAAACCATCTACAGTACACTAAGTGTTTTTCTCTATCCAGGTCCTTCAGTTCCTGCACACAGCGAACACGATATGCACGAAGGTGTAACTCTTCTTCATCGCTCTCTGAGCACTTCCGTATGAAACCCCTGATTGCGCTGACAGTCTCCTAAGGCTTTCTGAAGGGGAACGCTGCAACATTTTCTCCACGTCAGTCAGTTTAACCTCAGTCAAAACGGCCAGTCTCCCAGATCTCTTCCTATCTGAAACTGATCCACACTCCCAAAATCGATTGATTATTCTCGTTATCGTTGAATTGTTAGGAACTGCAGAATCCGGATATTTCATCTGCGACACGTGCATAAGAACGTCTGGCAAAATAATGTTCCACAATGAAAACTCGTTCTTGGGAAAATGAAATATCTCTCACACAACAAACAAAGCTATACTGCATACGACCAATACAAGACAGATGGTGTTTCTATTCGTTGTAAGTACTCTTACAGTACCATCTAGCAGTAGGAGATATAATTATATTAACTGCAATACAATTTACAACAACTTTCAGTTTGATGTGCGTGACTTCTCGATCTCCCTGTACAATGGATAGCAGACAAAGTTTCTTGTTTAAAAACCGTTCCTCTAATTCTTCTTCTTCTTCTACAACGAACAATGGGTCACAATTTTCGAAGGATTTGTGTCAATGGATGGTTTCTTCAAATATTTCATTAGAGAAATTACATAATCACAACTTCAGAAAATTTTTGGAGACATACACTTGTCATCTTATCCCAAGGGAATCGATGTTAAGAAAAAATTATCTCCCTACATGTTATGAAGATATGTGGTGCAATCTAAAAGTTCCCAGAATATATTAATAAAAACTATTACATCTTACCTAGATCTTATTCTGCACCATCACCTTCAAAGTAGTCCCCTTGGGAGTGCATACACCGATCCCAGCGTTTCTGCCACTTTTCAAATGCATCCTGGAAGTCTTTCTTTGTTAGGGTGTTTAGTACT